GTCTATTCCGGTGTCGATAAGGACTGTGGTTGAGTATCACGTCAAAGACAGACAAAGTCTTGATATTAAAGTACTTTTGACCAAGTTTTTGCCATTCGCGCGTGTTTGTTTCCTGTCTCTTATTATACAGAAGAGACTCTACCCAGACCTCTTCGTGATTCTGAGTTCAGCTGAGTCCAGCGCACTAACATTAAGGTCACTGCGTCGTCCACCAGAAGGAGACACAGATTTGTGAGTATTAAAGCATAAAAAGAACAATTTATTTACACACCGACTGACTGAGTTTGGTTCCTGAAGAAGACGTTGTCATCTTCCACTATTTCACGAAGTTCACCCATGTTGTCTTTCCTCTTAAAGCTGATGATCAGAGGCTCAGTACTGCCGGAGGAATCCAAAGCGATACATGTAACGCTGGCTGAGTCAAACTCAAAAGCATAGACGCCTTTTGGAAGAGGCTTGACGAATTTAATATCATTTGCACCTGAAAGATTAGGTAAAATGACCCATTATCTAGACGAAAAAAACTGAGAATCCTTTCACATATTTTTATTTCCACTTATGGTGTGTTTATCCAACTACGCCTGTGAAAAGAGCACGTGACAATCTATTGCGGCCGATGGATGAAACCTCAGTGCGTCGAAAAAAGTCTTATACACGTTTGTGTGGTGCTGAGGAAGTGTACCAACGCGTCAACTAAGACTTTATGAGGCCATATCTTTCTTATCTTTTATCATATGCTCTCAAAAATTTCTGCTATTTTGGTTAGACGTTTTCTCCAGTAGTCTCGTAAGGGTTTCCTCACCTGGCACATAATTAGCTCCTGCCTTTAGCAGGAGCTAATTATAGAAGGCTCCTGCAAACGGTTAAAGTTTGTTAATGTTTTCGTCTAACTGCCAATTTTTTCTGTTTTACCACTGACGGTTAACCCTATTAAGACCTTAAAGTAAATGGTACACGGTCGAAAGTAATGTGAACTAGAAGGAAAAGAATCGACGCAGTTGTAGCCAATGTTTCCTCTTCCAATTCCTAGTGTAATTCAAACTGCTTCAATTTGGGTTACTTCTGTTTCAAACTTATGTGATAATTTCTCGTCTGTCGCACCCAACACTGATCAAAAACGTTTCTTTTCATCCAGGGTCTCGTATTAAACAGTGTTTCAGAAAATAAAAGAGAGCTTTTCTTGAATTTTTTTTCGGTCGCAAATGGATCAGATAAATCAATACCGGGAACCTCAAGCAGTCAGGACAGTATCTCTGAGGAACGCTTCGCTTAAAAAAAATAATTGATATATTTTTAGCAGGACTCCCGCAAATGGCTGAATGAGCTTACCGTCATTCAAGGCGCTAAACTCAACGAGAAACTTCCGCATTTTAATAGCATATGTGAGAAGTGTTGACGTGTCCATTGAGCTGAAATGGCGCACTTCGGCAGCGCGCGTCTGTTAGAAATATATCGTGTCTTCTGGAATACTTCAAATATTACTTGTCAATTATTTTGTCGGTACGGTGGCCCACACTAGTCACGGCAATAACAAATACCTCTCGGCAAAACCAAATCATCGCCATCATACTTTGCTTAACGTCCCTAATTTCGTAAATTTTGGGGTAATTATTTTTTTCTTCAAACTTAAATGCAATGGCAGCGATAGACGACCAAAACCCACCTCCGACGAAAAAGGCGAGTTCCTAAGCAACTGGTTGGAATGGCAGCTATGTTAGATCGCTGAAGATCTTTCATCTATACACCTAGTTCTAACCTACTGCCCTATATTGGTGAACAGAACTAAAACAGTAAAGCTTTACTAAGAAAAAGTCTTCTTAATAAAATCTGCGATCAGAGTTGCGTTTCCTTATCAAAAGACTTAAAGAATGCTCTCAAGATCTCGAACGCTAGAGGAAATATTTACTCACTTTATTGTAAACACAGCCGAAAAAACTTATTATTAACATACAGTGTAACGTTTGCTGTTTTAAGTCACGCTCAACTTATCTAGTGATAGATTCTTTCAGCGCTACTTGGGAAAACTTTAATTTAATGGTTTATTTTTCCTCACGGTCACGGAAACCTGGAAAATTTGTTGTAATTTTGCATATAATTTTCATGATGACTGGTTGAAACTAGAAGAGCTCATTCCGACATTTAGAGTCACTGAGTAAAAATACATAAGCTTGCAGGAGACTATAACATTTATAGGTAAACAGATAATTTTTTTAATAAATTAAAAAATAGGAAAACACTAAAGAAGAACGAAAACGGGTTTCTGAGGGTTGAGAAGAATAAAATGGATGAAGGGAAAAATGTAAATTACTTTTTTTTCTACACGCCTAAATTGCGGCGTAACCGCAGTTCATATGAAACATCCGGACGCGTGTATATTTTCACGAACGATTAATGCCTTTGTTCAACACTTGGTATTCTACGCAGACTCCATTTACAGGAGTTTCAATAACTATTTCCATTAGCGACTACCGTTGGTGTTATTGGCGGCTGCATCGTAAGGCGAAACCCAAACATGACAGCCTGATGGCAGGCGACAAAGACGGCAGTGAGCAGTCTTTAAGGCGGCGGTTGACGGCTGTTAACCAACTTTCATTGACACCCCTACATCTATGATCTTACATTGAAATATCAGGGTTCAAATGAGGCAGCAGTTGTGACACCTTCAGACATTGTCTTTTTGCTAGAGAATAGTGGCGAAGCATGTAACTATACCTTGTGGTTTTGTTGATTTGAAATTTTAATCAACATCGCTAAATTCGATATGGTCTGGCGGATTTCTCAGGATAAGTCTATCAATAACTGAACTCACTAACACACCCTAGAAGTATTTAAGTTCTTTTGGCACACATATATATATATATAGACTTACCTAGAACACTTTGTACGAGAAAAATCGCCGCAGAAAGAAGCAGAATTTTCGCTACATCGGCCATGCTTACGTTGTGGGGAACTTTTTCCTGAGGAGATCACATGAGAATTAGATCACAAGGTAGCAAGCTGTTTTCATGACTGTCATATTATGCTAACACGTATCCAATGGAAACCACTACTTCTACTTCTATTCTCGTTAATTAAAAATCCTTGATATACTCCAGAAAGCCGGAAATTTCAAGAGCTAGGTCAAGGTTCCTATAACTTTTTCAGCTATATTTGTCACGAGTAATCCTTGTTACATTTCTCTACTCTCAACTGTTCTCGATTTTCCTTGCCTATCAATCTCATTATCATTTACCTATCTTACCATTTTAAAATGTAACGGTTCAATTTTATCCAATCAGAGAACGCAAGAATACAAATTGATAAATGGCGACATTAATCCCCTGAGGTTTCGACATATCGAAATAGAGGGTAGAACATGCGGATTCGTAAAACAACAATCTCAGCAAAACTACCGTGGAATGTGCTTGATGATACTTTAGGTTTCATTTCCTAGCCAGGCAAAGTAGAGGCAAAGTTGACTGAAGCAATTACAGAGTTTTTAAATTTACCTCATTTGGACGGCATTCATTCGACCTCGCTCAAAAAACTTCCCCTAAGTTTATTGCCAAGGTCAGTGTTGGCATGATTAGAATTCTTAATTCCCCCGGGCAGAATATTTGTTTAACCTCCTTTAAAGGGTGTCACTTCATTGGGAAGCAGGGGGGGAGGAGGGGGGTTTCCTAAGGTGCACTTTCTTTGCTTTGTGAATAGAACAGATTATTTTGTTAATAGTACATGGCTCATTTTAAACTCAGGGACTAGAGATGTTTTCCTCACTGCATACCCCCCCTCCTTCCCTCATAGATGCATGGTCCTGTATTTGGCCAACTTCACTGAATCAGGGAAACACTTTACATAGTCTGTTTGGGGCTGAAATAATCTTTGCCATCTTTTTTTATAGTTTTTACGTTGCTTGTTAACATTTATGTGCCTATCAGACGACAAACGATGATTATTTACGAGACATTCGGCAATTCTAACTCGAATTCTTGATAACACATAATTTAAGACTGAAAACGAAAGGAAATGATAAACATCAATCACTTTCCCTCACAGATGCATGATCCTGTATTTGGCCAACTGCACTGAAAGTAGTAAATACTTTACTTAGTCTGTTTGTTGCTGAAATTATCTGTCATCCTCTTTCAGTCCCTATGATGCTTATGAAATTTCTCAACCTATCCGCAGAAAAAAACTGATTATTTGCGTGGCATTTGGCAATTTTAACTCGAACTCTTAATAACACAAACATTTTCAATACTGATACGCTGAGTTACAGTCGCATTTTGATTGGTTAATTCCTTCTTATGATCTATCGGAGGGAAGACGCAGACAATATTTTTCTTCTATAACATATATTGTTAAAAGATTTCATATTTTCGTGGATCTGTACAGAAATAGTTCACAGAAGACGGGAAAAATGTGGCAAGGACATCGATCAGTGACGCGATCGGCTAAGCCTCGTGAAGCACTTTTTCGCGGTTTTTACCACATTTTGACGTCGTTTGTGTTCAAGAGATTATAATAAAATATAAATATATATTATAATAAAAATTACGGAAAACATAACGCCGATCTCTATCCACCGCCACTTTTTATCCTTTTCTCTAAGAACTGAATGACTCAGACTGACCCGAAATGTCCAATCGGGTAACGATGATGCAAGAACTGAGTTTAAAGGTCGCATCTCAAACGCAATCGCGTGACAACGAGAAAAAATTGTCAACAACCAACAAGCGAAAGGAAAAAAAAATAAAGCTCGATGAATATTCCCAATTTTTCCGGTTAGTATGGGCCAGAAGGAAGAATCTAGCATCGGATGAATGTCAAACAAATTCCTTCAGTTGTGATTAACAGTAGAGTAAATTTAAGAAACATATTAGGCGAGTGACCCTAGGAAGAACTTGAAGTGCGTAAATGGTCTTCGTCATTTTCCTCCTTTGGGTACGATCTCCAAGGAATGATGTAACTCCCAAGCATAATGAGGGTTTCGATGATTTCTCCAAGAACCCTAAATATCTATCCCGGTTTTAGGTGTCATTCATGGCAGGGGGGAAACCTAATTTTTTTTGAAATGTTTAACAATGTCGCATGTAAGTATTGACATAATGTTCTGTGCCAAACCATTACCTTAAAATTCCACTCTATCGACTGGTGTGATTCCAATCAACAAGATTGTTAGTTTCCGGGGCTGCTACCTTCCTTTCAACTGAAACATTTATGAACACGGACGACCAGAAATTGTGTCGAGCTTAAATGCCTGGATGTACTCTTTCCTTTGTTAATCAGTCTAAAGTTCAGTATTAAGTTTAAAAAAAATTAACCATGAGATCCTTATTTATAAATGTTCATATAATAATCTCATCCCAAGGCTTTTAACACACAAGCGGTCTGCCTCTTAAACAGTGAACTCTGTTTCTGGCTGTCTAAAGACAAGCATTGCATTGCTGAATTCAGTTTTTTTCAGTCATGATATTTTCCACAGGCGAGTCCTTGTTCTATCCCTACCCATAAGCCCCTTACCCGTCATCACCCATCATTTCGTGTCCAACACCCATCATTTAGTAATAGTGAAGAATAACAAGCCATTCCTCTTTTCTTTTCCGACATTACTCAAGGGAGGAATTGAGAAAGGGGGTGGGGGGAGGGTTTTTTTAGACCTGTGACCCCAACTCCCTCCTCCCTGATGAAAAACCTTCCGCAGCCCAAAACTCTCCACCTTGCGCATTCCTGTGTTGCTAACAGTAATCTAAGACTGCAAACAAACGCAAGAATAGCAGTGTACTTGAGACGGCCATACAGCAGTCATTTAGGCCCACGTGCCTGCGATGTGATAAGAAGAGATAAAGGTCAAGGATGATGAAGTTTTGGTGAGATGTGCAGTTAAACCCTCAGTTAAAGTACTCTTCTTTGTCTTTGACAGATCAAGCAAAATGCCTGCTCGAGCACGACTATCATGAACGAGCATGCGGGGGAAAAAATTTTAGGACTACCGAAGATGGCAGGACTGATGACGAGGTAAGACAAGGCAATCTTTATTTTTCCGTCACTGTGTTCACACTTTATCAGAGTCAAAACTTCGCTTTGCTTTTGATCGTTGATCTTTTGGAACTGATTCTTTAGCCGCAAGTTCAACTCGATGTAAACAGTACTCTGGGAATGACCTATTAGTTTTGGAACGGAAAAAGAGCGTAAACAGTCATGTGAACTACGTGACTTCCAGTTCAGCATTGCGAACGATCTATTTATAACCAATGAAGAATGGATTTCTTTATCGATCGCTTCGGTGCACTTATTACTTTATGATTGATTTATAATCGTTTGTTCTATCAGTTTCACTCAGTCGTTCGTTTCCAAATCCACGCAATCAGTGACTGTCGATAAATTGATTCAACTGAACTACCCTCAAAATCAAGGTGATCGCCTATTGATTTTTCCCTAAGTCATTCAAGTTTTAAAAATTTCATTTCGCTGACTCGGGTTTCGCATGATTCGACCCGAAAACGTCAGTCGTCTGTGAACTAGCCTGCATAGATGGTCCGTGGTGCGTCACTTTTTTGCCTTTTTTTTTAGTTCACTTTTGTCCCATGCCCTTACACTGCTCCTGCTCCGCTTGGAAAAGGGAAAAGAAAGGCCTGGTAGACATGCTTTCAGTTAACCACCTATCTTTGCATTCGTTAATTCCATCGTTTTATTATTTGGATGCTTTAGTCGTCCGTAGGCTTATAGCTAGTCTATATCTTACAATACTTTAAACAGCCCTCAAAGAAATATTATTATGTCATTCAAATAACGGCTGAGAGCCCTCGAAAGGAAGCTCATTTTTAAATCACTTTCGGCAATTTCCGTAAAATGTCGCAACTCAAGTATTTGATTTCACCGCAACGAAATGCGGCATCTAAGGAGAGCTTTCCTTGAAAGGATATTGAAATAAGTCGCTTGCACTCTCTTAGTCAGCGATCAATAGATTTCAACACCTTGAAAGCATCACGAAATTTTTGCAGAAGTTGCCGGTTCAAAGGCCGTTTTGATGACTATACGGTAGACTTGACACTGACGGGCATGCTTGACACTGACGCAAACCGGTTTTTACCAGTACAAAGTTAGGTTTTTCATCAACCAGTTCTGTGCGACAGATAATGGAAAAGGAAGAATTTTTTTTTTTTGCAATGGTTTCTCTCTTGTTTGGCGAAGAAAGAACCAATTTACCTGCAAAGTAACTATCAGAGTTCATGCATGGAGTTGCGTGGGGTAGTTCCGGCGTTGTATGTCTGTTGAGTAAATGGCGATCATTTGAATAACCTCTTGATTGCATTCTAATTTCGCCGTTCAAGAGATAGCGAGCTCATATTGTATTGCAAGGCGGTTTTATTGATATTGATAAAACCCACCAATGGAAAAACAGAAGTTCGGTAAATATCTTGCACTGGACACGAACATTCACGCACAAGACATTTGCAGCTTGTTAGCTATATGCCTTACATCGAAAACAAAAGATATCACTCTATGACCCACTCAGTAAAAATATTACTCCGATAAAAATTGCATAGAAAGATCGTTTGCACAACAATTACAGAAAACAAAGTGGAAAGCCACACGAAAAAACCCTCATTAATATTCACGTAATTTGCTTTACGTAATATTCTCAAGCTCAAACACAGCTTGACTTGGGTTCCTACGTTTCCTTAGTTGTCTGAGAAACCACGTGATAAAAAGCACGGAAGATAAAGAAACGAGATCAAACTTCCAAATATCTCCAACTATCAAATCACTACAATACTCTTTTTTACTGAAAAATTAAACACTAAACCCTCAAGAGCCGTGCAGAATATGAAATTGAAATGCTACATTTATTTTCATGTAATCATTTGCATTTTTCGGGAACGGCACCTTGACACCCTAGCCGGTCTGCCGATGATCAGAAATATCTCTGAACACCTTTTTTTTACCTCTATGTTCAGTGTGGAAAGGCGAGCTTTCCCGCGCATAGGTTTTAGAGGATATCGAGCAACAGATCAAACATTCAGGCAAAGCTATTCAGTGACCTAAGAGACCGAAAAAAACCAAAAGCAAAAAAAAACCCAACAAATTCTGGCATAGTATTAGTCATCTATGTAGTTAACTCACTCTTTGACGCTGTGGTGTAAATCTTCAGAAAAAGTAGCCGAAACAACGTAGGAAACTAAATCTGTCTTGTTTGGTCAATGTAACAATATACGCCTGTGTTTTTGTCGTTTCGTCTTGACCCTTTGCGTCACTGTCAGCACGTAACAAGAAGGATGCGGTGAAAACAGTATGTTGTAAACAGTGAAAAGGCGGTGAGGCGTCGTAGAGGTGAAGCTCGGTCTTTTCATGAAAACAGGGAAGAGGTTGAATGATAAAGCCGTTCAGATGACCGCCACAGAGAGCTTTTCCGGTCACACAGCACGGCAGAGCTAACGACAAGGCTTATGAGCACTCAGAAAGATATCGATAAATGGCGATTAACAGTAGGCTGGCACTACTGGGGACTGCGTCACACTTGCCGACAAGTGTTGCGCTTCCTTTCGACTATTTAATTTGTATTTTTATCACACTTGAAATTAATGTTTACTCATTTTGAATTTAGTTGGTTTTTACAATCGCGCATTCAAGAATTTTCCTCTTGTCTTGAAGTGTCACGAAATGTTATTGTTGTCTGTTGCGAAATATCGGGGGATTTTCCCGGAAAACCGTTTTTTCTTACAATAGCACGCATGCGGTAAAGTAACTTGTAAATTTCCTGATTAGAAGAATTGAATGCATTATTACACACAATTGGAAAACACAGAAAGTAGACTTTCGCTCAGGCTTTTGGGGTTTATATAGAAATCAACGAAGTGGACAGATCCGTCGAGTTTCGACGAATTAGCGGGTTTATCCTGGGTATCTGATGTCAGGTGCGGGAATAAATTTTTGGGCCGACTACTTCAATGCAAGTTAACTTTTATTTTCATTTAAAAAAGGGTGATGGATAGAGTTATTAAGATCTAAAAACAAAACCTGCCAAAGAAGAGCAGACACGACCTTGACTTTTTCACTTTCCAAACTGTGTCAATAGCAGCCTGTTTGAATTATTTTGTTTTGCAAAGCTGGAAAATCGACCACTCAGAAATAAGCTTGTAATCGATGACATCATCGTTATCATGACCTTAAGACATCTCAGGCCGGGGAAAGGTGTTATTACTAAGGTTTTCCCGATCGCATGAGTCGCTTGTTGTGTGCCAAGAATACAAACATGGGAAATTACGCATTGCTTTGCAACCTGATTTTACTCGTTCACGTTTCCATGCAAGGTAGGCTTAATGTAAAAATCTATTACAGATGTGTTATTTCTGAGCCATCCACAAAGAGGAAAACTCGTCCAAAATTTTTAATTGTTTACAAAGCTGTTTTACTTCGGGAACTTAGTGCAACCTGCAGAAACTGGAAGCGACTGGGATAGAATTATGAGCTGGAAAATTCGCCTCAGTTACATATCTAGTTTGTTCAAAGAAACATCTCTGGTTGATTGGCAAACTTAAAGGGCGATTGGGTACGCGTTTAAGTTTCATTTCTGCAGAGATGAATTGAAATCATTGAGTCAACTACAAAACATCGTATCTTCAGTAGCATTTTTTCGCTATCTTCTTCAGACGGAAACGAGCCCATTTTCGTTTGGAGGAAAATCTATTTATTGCATCGTGATAAGAATGTTGCAAAACAATTAATGGAAAACACAGACTTTGATTGTACTCGGATGATTCTCTTCTCACAACATCGTATGATCTGTGTCGTGACAAACATGCAGTAACAAGCATACATAAACCGAACGGTTTCCTGCAAGTTTCTTTGTTTCACGTAAAGCATTTTCTCTTGTTGTTTTATTGCGACGCAACATCTTCGAAAGGCATGACTCAGAAATTGAAAGAATAATTATGATTTATTTTGTTTTCATGTTAGCCTCTAATTGGCACTTTCCCAAATTTTAAACTCAAAAATAAAAATGAACGAATAAATTATCTTAATGAAATAATTCTAATTTCGACTGGTTCCATATGAGTTCATATGCATATCTGCAATTTTGTAGAAAGTTACTTAATTAAGATGCGGTTATCACATTTACGTTGCGTGACATCAGCAGGTTGATGAAAGAATCTTGTTTATTTTAACTACTGCTACATTAAACTATCTTGTTTTACAACAATGGAAAGATCCCATTACCGACTAAACGTTTATCCTTAACACTGAAGGGAGATTATTG